ATTATTATTATTTAATATCTTTGAAAGAATCTGTACTGTAAAGATAAAGGTGACGTCATTTGATGATCGGAAACGTGCTGTAGAGATTAAAGTACAATTTATGTCCTACTAACGATACTGTTTTTAGATACACAGCGATAGTTTGTAGTTTACATGTATATGTATATACGTACAAATACAAGTGTTACATTTATAATTACTATTCCCCACCTCCAGTTCACTCACGCGTTTGAAGATGAAACGTCACATGAAGCGCGTTGCGTTCTGGGAAACAGTATCCCATGCAGCGTCTTCAGATGCATACATCAAATTTCAGCCAATGTAGCAGGTAATCCGGGCATTCCATGCATACAGAAAATTCACATACTAGTCACAGTATACACACAGCATACTGCATACTGCATTATTGAAATATACTGATTTCAGTGTACTTCAGTTATATTTAGCAGATTCTGGCGAACATAGTAGGTCATCCGGGTATTACATGCATACAGAAAATGTGCATACTATGCACAGCATACATACTGGATACTGCAGAACTAGTAAGAGTAGTATGATAGTATGGCATTTCGAACACAGTCCGTGTGTTTTTAGATCAAGGTTGAGAAATACCTCACCCCTGAGCAGAAAGAAAAAGAAGAAAAGCTAAGAGACGAAGATGAACGGCAAAGGCTTGCCGCCAAGGTATAATATTACTGTACCTCACAACAGGTGTGCTTTTAACAGTTAATTAACTACTTATTTTCACATCGTAATCCATGTTTAACACAACAGTTTACTTTTATAAAAATTTAATATTCTATTCATCCATGAATTTTGAATCTAGTAATTATATATTCATATGAAAAAATGTTTATTTTATCAATTTATACTCTTTCATTCAAAAGTTTGGGGTCATTTTTTAAGAAATAAATATAATGTACATGTTTTATCAGCAAGAATGCATTAAATTGATCAGAAATGACATTTACATTGTTACAAAAAACGTCTATTTCAAATAAATGCTGTTCTTTTGAACTTGCGAAAGGAAAACTTGAAATCGCATCATATGACCCCCCTAAAGAAATTTTTTTTATCATGGTTTCAAACAATAAAGCAGCACAACTGTTTTCAACATTAATAATAATAAGAAATGTTTCATGAGCACCAAATCAGTATATGAGAATGATTTCTGAAGGATCATGTGACACTGAAGACTGGCGTGAAGACTGGCGTAATGACTGCTGAAAATTCAGCTTTCCCATTATGGAATATGTTACATTTTTAAATATATTAAAATAGACAAATTATTTTAAATTGTAATGTCTTACCAATCTTACCAACCCCAAACATTTGAACAGCAGTGTAGTATAATACATTAAACTGAAATATGAAAACGGGCTTATATTGGCAAAAACTGTAATGTGGATATTTCAGTTTGTCTCATGCTGTAGATGATAACAAATTTTCCATTGCAGTCTGACAACATGAGAGATCAAGCACTCAGTGTTATGATGGGTGGAGTTCTGGAACTTAAAAAAGAGGACATGCTGAGGATGATGAGGTGGAAGAAGAATTAATCTTACTAGAATGCAAACTTATTTACCAAAAAGAAGATAAAGGCAGGGGAAAGTAACATTTAAGATATGCTTAACTTACAGGAAGTACCTCAGCCCGAGTTCATGTCTAAACCTGAGGTACAATGGACAGAAGAAGAGAGAAAGAGCTTCAAAGAGTTTGAAAAAAAGCAAAGGGATAACTAACAGGGATAGTTCATCCAAAATTCTGTTTGTTTTTAACTGTCAGGCTTAAAAAATGATAAAATATCCACCAGAGTGTTCCATATAGCACATATACTATATTACAAATCATCTGAAACCATCCAATAACTTAAAAAAACATCTTATTTGCAGTTAGGTATATTCAAAGTTGCCATCTCAAAGTCTGTCACAGTAAATGCGAAAACCAATGGGTGCTTGCATCATTGATGTCAAATCTGCATTTTTGGGTGAACTATTCGCAATCACTCCCTTCCATTTCAAATCATTTTAACACTGTAGACCACTTTCCCTGTTTCTCTAGACACTAGAGACAGAAATGAAGAAACTGCTGACATCTATCAAAGAGGCTACCCAGATGTTTGATGAAAAACTCACAAAGCTGTTTGAAAGGAAGGTGAAATCAGAGATGGTCATATACCAAGTAAGCTGATACAGTACATCATTGCATTTTTGCATGTCACCTTTTCAGGGGCCTATTGTGTGTAATCGCATGACTTGCAAACACTGTAGTTACGTAACAGTAACTGCGCATCTACTACTTATAGATTGTGAGTTTTTATCCTTCAGGAGGAGCTCAAGATTGCTAACCTGGTTCACTCCATTCAAATCGAAGAAGAGATCCTAAGCAGAGAGAAACAGTTGAGCCTTAAACTTGAAAAGGCACGAATTGTAAAGGTGATCTATAGATAATCTGTCTCTTATCTTTTGTTCAGCCCTGCTGTTGTCTGTTCACAGTAACTCTATATAACGTCAGAAATTGGCAGTTATAACTTGAGACTATTATGATGTTCCTGATGATGAGACAAAAATTTAATGCAAGAACAAACTTGTGTGGCACGCTAATCCGTTCCTGTGAGACCGACTGTTTTGCACATGTTCAAGTGTGATTCACCTTTGTAAGTTCCACACACTTGGCCCAAGGAAGGTATCCAGTGGTGGATGAAGGATTGACCATTCTGAGTGAATCCAGTGGCGGGAGCAGATGAAAAGGCACTGATGCATATGTGAGAGAGGCGTTTCCTGCACCACCCCTCTGTGGGGTGTCTTGAAGGTGCCAGTGTATTGTCTGTTTCTCAGGAGATCAAAGTATCTGAGTTTCATGAGTTTCTTTTATCCTTACACCTTTCTTTCCTGTCAGAATGAAATGGGGGAGGAATTGAAAAAACACAAGGAGATTGTTGATGAGTCTAGAGAGGAGTATGATAACACAGTCGCTGAGGACAAAGTAAGATTATGAATATATGATGCATATGCATATCCATAATGTTCTCACCAAGAAAGTCTTATAAATCATTTGCCTTTTTTTAAGCTTCTTGACAAAGGTTTCCGCAAAGAGATTTGACGTCCCTGGACACATAATTGACCAGCTCTATAAGCTTTACAAACGCAGACCAAGGTATAATTTCAGAGGACTTGCAACTTCATAAGACATGTGCTTGTCCAGTTATCTTTAAAACGGTAAGAGTGTTGTTTGACAGGGTTCAGAGGATGAAAACACAGACTGAAAATAACCTGTTCAAAGAGGGGGCACTATTAGGAACAGCACCATCTGATGGACTCTCTCTGATGATGAAGGCCATGGAAGAGTTGGACACACCAGAGAACATGCCGGAAGGATTAGATCCAGTTGTGTGGGAGAGGTTTTGCCTGGCTAGACGGGCCAAAGTGGAAAGTAAACAAAAGGTGAGAATGGGCAGACAGGATGCAAAGGTGCTAGAAGTCCCCCAAATCACATCTTAAGCCATGTTCCTCAAAATGCAAAATCTAAAACTGCCTGAGAAGAGTTTTAACATTTAACTCCTGTAGGCCAAACTAAAGGCATTGACCCTGGCAGAGATGCAGGCTTTTCTTCTGAGGAGAACAGACGAGGACGAGAAAGCTCAACTTGAAATAAAAAATCTCATTAATGAACTTAATAGGTGAGAAGAACAGTTAGTTATAAAAATTAAGGATATCACTGCGCATTGGAAATAGGATGTTACTGAGTATCTCTGACCAGATAATTTCAATCCTAATATTGTCCTAGCCTCTGTGAAGACAAGATGAGGTTTCGACTAGACAGTATGGTGCAGATCGTTCTACAGCAAGGTCAGGTGGAAGTGGAGGCTGGAGACTTCATCGCTGACTATACAGATGCTTTGCTAATCCATCACAAAGTAACTGAGGACCTCAACAGCACCATCAGGGTACATAGAATTACTCATCTTTCTCTTCATTTAAATTTTACTCAAACTATACATTTTATGGTCTATAATATTGCTGATTGTTCTTGTGCATCAACCAGAAACTAAGCACAAAACGAATTCTGGATGATTATCGTCACTGACTGTTTGAACTAGAAATAAATTATAAAGTGCGTAGATTGACATGTAAAGAGCAATAGTTGATTAAATGAAATTTAGATTATTTCAACAAATAAAAACTAAGGAAACATTGTTTGGTAAACACACAATGGCAATTCTGGTATTTTATCACGAGATAACAATTTTTATTTAAATATTGTATTCTCAATTTGAATTTAATAAATCCAGTTATTGATTAACTTATCTATTACTGGTTTACCTATCAGGCTTTAGGAGATCAGAAGATCGCCAGCATGGTGGAGTGTAAAGACTTCCGCAAAGGAATCATACAGCAGGAGTGGCATCACAGGAGAATGAGAATGCAGCTGGAGGATCTCAGTAATAAAACCAGAGACATACAGACCCTGCGCATCGCAATATTGGTTGAAATAATCTTCATTCATTTAGTGCTTTTTTTACCTGGCAGGTATATGATTGATAAAGTAAGCTAGTGAAAATCGAAAAGGAATGATTTAACAGATCTAAGACAAGAAGACACTATGACTCAGGACTACCTTTGTCTTTGCTTTAAAGTGAAATTGAATGACAAAATATTACAATTACAAATTTTTTTTTTTCTAATGTCAGCACCTAAATGAAACAAATAATGACAACAGGGTGTCAAAGCAGCTCGCAGCTCTGGAGACGACCATAGATTTACAGAAAACGGTAAACTTGCTCATTTTTTTAAGTACCTAGCGGAGATATTAAGCATAGAGTAACTTTTCCAGATGCATATTTCTCAGCACAGGTGTTCCTTAGTTGTAAATTCTTTACAGAAAGTTGTAAAGTCTGGATAATTACATGAATCAAATTCATTGACACATATAAAAGTTTGGTTTGTTCCACTCTTTGCCCAGACTCAGCAAAAGAAATTTGAGACTTTCAAGAAACAGGTAAAGCACCTGGACAGACAAGGTGTGCAAATGCAAGAGAAGAACGCAGCCCTCGACTTGAAAGTGGCTGACATGGAGATAACTGTCGCAGAGAGAAGAAATATTTACGAGGCTGTTGGTGACTTTATATCTTGCCTCATTAAAGAAACAACTGTTTTAAGTAACAATTTGTTTTTAGCAAAAATAGACTGCTTAGTAGTTTAGAGCACACGAGGCCTATGATGAAACATGAGGAGAGATTACTGTGTTAATCATTCATAAATGCATTTATTTTTTTAAAGAAATTAATACTTTTATTATTATTCAGTTAGGACACATTAACTGATCAAAAGTGACAGTAAAGGCATTTAAAATGTTTTACTTCATATAAATGCTGTTTTTTTTTTAACTTTCTATTTATTAAAAAAAAATTGGCTGGAGTAATATATATATTCAGATAGAAAAGTTATTTTCAATTATAATAAAATGTAACAATATTACTGATCAATGTTGCACTGCGGAAGCTTCTGTCATGAAAACAAATTCCTCGTATGTGAAAACATACCTGGCAATAAAGCTCATAATGATTCTGATTCTGAAATAAATGCAGCCTAGGTGAGAATAAGAGACTTTTTCCAAAGCATTAAAAAATCTTTTGATCAGCAGAGTAAATTGTGCCAATGAATTAAATGAATTTTTCATTTTTAAACTTTTATGTATGATTTGTACTGTAAATTCTGCTCAAGGTTCATGTATAATGCCCAATAACTCACTTATATTATTCACAAATATTATTTTGTTTTCCAGCAATGGGAGATAACCAAGACACAGACGCAGAGAAGAACTACCCAGATATCATCTTAAGAAAGAAGCTGTTGAACACAGTCAGAGCACAATCTGACGAGATACTCATACTGAGAGCGGAGGCTGAGAAACTGCGTATGAAGAACTTCCCATCTCTTTCTCAACTACACAACTGATTTAGGATACATAACAGATTTATTATTACAGCTTTTGGTTGAAAAATAAAATTATTTCAATACAAACTTGTGAAATGACAACACAAGTAAAATAAATTACAATACAGTTTGATAAACCTACCAAAAGTCACACTGCAATGTCTTATAAGTTATATAGGGTATAATGTGAATAGTCTTCCTATCTGAATGTATTGATGAATGACCTGGTCTGAAAAGGCTTCTTACAACCCATTTAAATAGTGTCAATAAAATTAATACAAACAATAAATTTCAGTTGTCCGTGAAGTCTTCCTCTGTCCTGTCAAAGTGCAGTATTTTGTCATCTAAGCCTAAATTGTCTATAAGCTGAGACAGACTGACTTGTTTTCCCTCTGTGGGTAATTCACTCTGTAATTCACACAGCACTGACTGAGCACAGGATCTCCATTTGTCTGTGAGCTTCTGCAGCTGGGTCAAGTCATTCTGAAAGAAAAGACCGCAAAGAGTGAAAAACTTAAAGAACATCATCATTCGTGTTAATTGCAATACTTGATTAAGAAATAAATGTTTACCTTTTTCCTATACATCCTGACCATCTTTAATCTTCGCAAGGTTTCTGATTTCTCCTTCACTGCTTTTCTTAGCTCTTCATATGGCTGAATCGAGTCTTTTTGTGCAGGCTCAGCTGTGTAAAGTGAACAGTCTATTTTCCCCCTCATATCATTCCGCTTGACATCAGTATCAGGGTCTCTGTCGTCGGTCAAACTGTGGTTAGTGTCTCCCAGTTGTGAGGCCTGTGGTTGATCGTCATCTTCAATTTTAAGGCGTTTAACCACACTGTGGGGGGATCTGAACGAGTAGCGTGATCTTTTTAACTTCTCCTTCAGTGAGGAACTCATGGACTGAAGCAAAAAATGTCCACAAAATATCAACAATGCTCATATGTGAGTCTAGACACAGTCAGTGATTATTTTTTTGTGGAAAATAAGCTCTTCACATGTATGAATGTGGTTTATCTACTCTTTGCTAATTTTAGCTTCATATGAAAATATTAGATATCAAAAAGGCAGTAAGCTGTAACGTTACCTTGGCAGCGCTTGGCCTGCTTGAAGAAGACTGGGCTGTACTTCGTGTATTTTCATTAGTTGGTGTCAGTTTTATCGGGGTTGTCTCCATGATCACATCATATGAAATCGCTATGAAGAGGAGAAAACAGGTACATAACTCTAAAATGACAGGGTACTATTTACGTATCTTCTGCCGTAAAAATACAGTCGGAAGCAACTCTAGGTGAATATGATCTTTACAGCTGTAATGTTATCAGTAGGCACTCTGATGTTTTGAAATTGTCGTCTTCTTGGTGTGTTTTGAAATTGGTGCAAGAGCCACATATTTCATCGTCATTTCCGGGCCGCCTATACGTCATTGTCATCATCATGAATCATGGGAAACGTAGTCTACAAGAACTGTTTTTCTAATTTATTAGAGGTAATTTATAGAATAGAATAGAATAGTTATAATGTAATAATATACTTTGTAAGTTATAAAAATAATAGACAGCTGTAATGTTATCAGTAGGCACTCTGATGTTTTGAAATTGTCGTCTTCTTGGTGTGTTTTGAAATTGGTGCAAGAGCCACATATTTCATCGTCATTTCCAGGCCGCCTATACGTCATTGTCATGATCATGAATCATGGGAAACGTAGTCTACAAGAACTGTTTTTTTAATTTATTAGAGGTAATTTATAGAATAGAATAGAATAGTTATAATGTAATAATATACTTTGTAAGTTATTAAAATAATATAATTTATTTTGTATATTTTGTAATAATATATAGGCTAATAATATTTTGCACCATTCACAGTTAGGACTTACACAAAAATGACAATGTGAACAAATTAATAAACCCATCTTATCTTAAACTAACTGTAGGTAGACAACATGGTTGAAGGAGAAATTGTAAAATTGTGAAGAGAATTATTTGGTTAAAACTTGCAAACGCAGAATGCAGCACCTCATAGTTTATTATTTTTAAATCACATAATAACAGAAAAAGGTTTTGACTATTTGACTATATATCTGTTATATCAATCAGCTATATCAATTGAAAAGTACAGATGTCCATACATAAAGAATAGCAACATATGATCTAAACATATTTCTTCAGTCTTCTTGTCTTGTGCAGATGAAAGGGACTAATAGGATTCCAAAACTGAATCAGAGGTGAAATTGGTGGCACAGTTTGAATGAACCCATGTATAAAATCAAAAAGAAAGATGTCGAAATAAATGAATCAAACTCTGAATCATTATAGTGATGAATCCATTAATTATGTAGCTTATATAACAAACATACTCAGTAAGCATCTTGCACAAAACCACTGCAAAAACAGTAGTTAAGAAGAAAAAAAGAAAAACCTCTCTTTTCAAATGAAGATGATTACGTTGGTGGTTCAGTTCATTCATGTTCTTTTTTTTCAACCCCATTACTCTTCTACTTCTACTGGGAATTTTTTCTGTCTTGTTATAACTTGTCTATGAAATTAAAATTGTTTAATAGCTGTATAGTCATGCAACCGTGCTCTCTCACGTTTCTAAAATTTGTATGGGGTCTAATACAATGTGCAAAGAGACAGAAAGATGCATATGGGGCGGAGTTAAAAATTTTGTGACTAATGTGCATTTTGTATCAGCAGGGTGTGCCCATTGCCCACTGGGGAAAAAATGTATCCTTAGAAAATGGCATGTAAATCCCAAGGGAAGCAACACCCTTTTCCTTCGGAAAACTTGTATGTGCCTGAATTTCATTTGGAACATTTGCATTGTTCTTTGATCCAGCTGTCTTCGGATTATTCACTGAGATAATGAGTAATAAAATCACTTAATATGTATCATATAGGACTGGCTAAAATGGTATGCATGAACACTCTGTAAGGATGTTAAACTCTTGCTGGTAATATAAGCCGGACATATCCTCATATGACCCCAACTCATACAAATGTTCTGTCTGTAATCAGCTGGCACATTCAGCTAAAGTAAAATTATTATAGTCATGTTCCTACAGTTTATTTAAAGACGCATACTTTCTTTGTAGTGATTTGAAAGGTATATTTAAACATAATTTGATTCCCAGGAAATGTATGAGCTTTCAAAAAGGTACTAATATGTATAATTTAGGTACTAATATGTACTTTTAATATGTACCGCTTTTGTACAAGTGGCAGCTTTGTAACTTTTTTCCTGAGAATGTATATCTGAAATGCAATATGTATGTTGCTCATAAAGCACTTCTGTAGTGTATTTTAATAAGAGACAAAGCATGAGCCTCCCAAAGTTATATAATGTAATCGAAGTCTTTATGACCTAACTTCCTACATGGAACATTATTATACAATGGCTTAAATAATTTATTCTAAAATATTTTAGATTAATTGCTTCAAGCTGAACAACATGCATTTTCTGTCATGTTTATGCTGCTATGCCAACAGTAGTAGATTAAACTTTTTTTTCTGTGTCAGTCTAGGCGAAGTTACTGACACATAGATAATACATCCAGCCACACCTGTGTTCACCTGAACATGTCTTAAAGCTTTAGTTTGCTGGAACATAAAGGATAAAATTGTGATTCCTGAGGGTATTGTCTTTTTTTAAAAGTCTGTCTGTGTACCTGCCAAAAGACAGGGGAGTGGCTCGGCATAAAATCCTACCCAGAACTCCTGTGGAGACTTGCTGGTCAACGGAGAGAGAATATCAGAAAAAAAACAGCAGAAGTCAGGCAACAACATTCATACTGCACAGGTGAAGTTCACAGGCAACTCTTAAGTGGACTTTATCTAAAATCCCTTTCTCTTCAGATTTTCAAGGATCAAAGGTAAAACATTTTATTAATGATTTTGCTTTCGAACTTTTTTCTTTTAATCACAAAAAAAGAGAAAAGAGAAACGAATAGCAATACATTTGTGCTTTGTAAGGCTTTGTTAGGCTATGTAAATTTATATATTCCTTCTTCTTTATTGCTTTTTAAATTATTCCCGTTGCTCTCCTCAAATATTTATTTGTAAATTTTTTTGTAAAATATTTATTTGTAAACATATTTCTTTGTATTTTGTTTCTGTGCGGGACTGCACCAAAGACAAAAACCCAGACTGAAACAATAGAAACCAAAACACCTTTGTGATATTAATGATAAATTATGGGTCCATTTGATTAATTATGAGACGTTTTTAATGTTTCATTGTTTTATTCTAAACTTCACAGTAAATGTGGGGAAGAAGTTGGGTTAAAATCTGAACTGATTCTGAATTCAGGGATGAAAAGCCTTGTACAGATAATCACCATTAGCAAATAAAGGCATTATTTGTCTATGGGGGACCATTCACTGTGTTTAGCTTTTTCATGTATTGTGGTTTGCAGGGAAACAGTAGCTGGTCTTGCATTTGAAACTGAAGATGTGAGGAGGGTGGGGTGGTGATAAATTGCTTTACTCTCTCCTCTGTAAATATGAGACTATAGTTGTACTTGCTAGTCTTTTGTTGGAGCAAAAAATTGTCCTTTAGGCATTCTTTTTCATTAAAGTTGAATATGGGTATATGCGTCATTTGTAATTACTTTTTGGAAATGGTGTGGAATAGTCTTCCATTCTATAATATTCTTGCCTTGAGTAGAATCTGCTAGGAAAGAGAAGAAATCCTTTTGTTTATCATTGTGCATGCAGTTAACATTTTCTTGTTAAAACATGTTGCTGTGAGGGACAAAGACATTAAAACACATCTTCTTGTAAAAACAAATTATTCTGTCATTTCATTCAGGAATATATCACAAACTAAGTATAATTGACTAAATAAGTTTATGTATATTATGCATAATATTTATTGCAGCTCTTCTCATCAAGTACTATCCCACAGTTCAACTGTAATAGAAACACCTTAAAGCTCTATTTGAGTATGTCTAGATCTAGACTGATTCTGCTTCGTATCACACCGATTTGAATGATCTGTAATTGTTTTGCTACATTTATTTAGCATGGAATGGATGATTTAATACAGCAAAGAAACTATTCAGGAGGAAGTTCAGGAGAGAGAGGTAAGGGTGTTTGATTAGCTTGAGTTTATCAATTTGCTGTGAACCTGAACCAAAATCTTTTGTGAAAATCTTTTCATTGTGATTGTAATGTTACTAAGAAGCTTGATTATTATTTTGATGAAGTGGCAACGTTTTATTCAGCTATATGTTTTTGAATTTCAAAGCAAGAACTGTTCATATTTATAAGACATGTATTATGAAAACAGGCATCGCAGAAACAATTTCTACTACTAGAATTACATCTTTACCTCCACGTAAGTTACCCCTGTTCACTTTCCCATGTACATTTTATCTGTTTTCACTGTCTGATTTATTCATATTCAATGCCTCCCTCCTCTACTGAATTTGTGCATTATGGGAAAATTCCTGCTTGTCAAACTGTGGCTGTAACTTGAGCATCTTTTTCAATATGAGATCAAAGTGGTCATTGCTGTAATTTACCATGTTTTTAACCCGCAGGAGGCTTCAGTGCATCTGCCAACAAGGGCATGTCAAGCACCTCTGGGTCTCCTGTTCTGGAGAAGAACATTTTGACTCAGAACAACAGCAGTTCTTTTTTTTCATCCTGTAAGCCAATCTAGCATTACTTTTTAAGAGTTACACAATAATTAGTTTCAGGTTTTAGTCTGATACAGTCTTTATACTATATATTATATGTTTAATATTTAAAACAAACTCATATATTTCGTCCCTGTTTGTGTGTCTCAGCATCTGTGGGTGTGAGTGCAGGTGGGTTAGGCTCTGGATCAGGAGAATATCTGGCAGAGGAGACAACTGTGAGCAGGAAGACAGGTGGTGCCTCTGGAGTCTCTGGATCGGGAACTGGGTCGAGGCTGAGATCCAGCTCCACTGATGGCATGAGAAGAACACAAGACTCCCCTTTGTTTGTGGAGAGGAAAAGCAAAACTACTCATTCACGTCGTTATGATGGTTAGTCACAGCTGAGACACCTTAAATAAATAAATAAATACTTTTTTAGCATTTGTTTTGTCAGTCCCTCATAATTACACTAGCATGTAATATATATATTTTTTAACTTCAACAGGAAGTTCAAGTGACAACTCATCCCCAGAAATAAAAAGAAAAGACTATGGTAAGACCCTCAGCCAAATAAAAAAAATGTTTAACGTAGTTTATATGATAGAGACAAATGAAGAAATCAGGATCCGCACTCACTTATAAACTATCAATGTTCTTTAGAGTTTTATTGTACAAAAAGCACAAATGGAACATCAGGATCATCAAAAGTTTTGGCACTAGGCCTTCCTCAGTGAAATATGATAGAGACAAGAAATATCACCTTTTGTTTCAATTGCTCTGTTTTCAGGTTCAACTAGAGGAAGGAG